AATTATATTATCAAAAAAAAGTTAGATTTCCAAATAGACTATTATTTTGAGACGGAGAGAGTAGCAAAATAAATCTTAAAATTTTAATTTTGTTAATTTAAACTTTATATTTTGATTTGTTTTAATTTAAATTATTTGTATATTTTTATTAAGTAAAATTAATAAAAATATATATATATTTTAGAAATTTTCAAATTGAAAATTTAAAAACTTACCAGTATATTATTTTTAAAAGTAAAACTCAAGATTTAAAAAAAAAAATAAAAAAATATTTTTTAAATAAAATTTAAAAAAAAAAAAAAAACAAACAAACAGAGACTATTATGAACTTCTATTGCACCATCAATAGTTTATGTACTAAATTTTATATCACTCAATTATTTACCAAATTACTCACCTCTCGTGTGGGATTATAAGTCTCACTTTGGTTTTTAATATAGTAGATCAAACACATATATGACTTATAATGTATCAATACACATCAGAAGTAGAAATAAAAAAGTTATTTTTGATAAATAAATTTTTCAAAGTACAATTCAAAACTTAATTTTTAAAAAATTTGGATCAAAAAATAAAAAAAATTTGTTTGGTTAACAAATTTTTTAAATGCAACTCAAAACTCAGTTTTGTCTCTTCTCTTCCTTTTCTTTTTTTATTTAATAAATCGATCAAAACTTTTTTCTCTCTCCTCTACGTCTCCCACATTCTATAAATTAATTAATTAAATTTTTTCTCGCACCCATCTATTCAACTAATAATAATATATATATATATATATAACTATAAACATCTTAAAATTATTTTCAAAACTCATAATCAAACAAATTTTTAACAACTTATCTTTCAAAATACAACTCCAAACTCATTTCAAAAACTAAACCAACAGAGCCATCTTTTTTGATATATATTTTTTTATTTTTTCAAAAATAAAAATAATTTAAATTAAAAAAAATACCCATCCCTTTTCATTTTTGGCAAATGCTAAAGCCGTGTTCATAAAAATGAATCTGAAAACATTTTTGAACGTTTTGCTACACAAATTTAACCCATAAAGACTCAAAAGTGAATGCAAAGGCATAACCTTTTTGACTGCAAAACCAAAGACTCAAGAAACAGTAATCTAAAATTAATATTAAAAAAAAAAAAACTAATTATAATACAATTTTCTTACTTTTTACCCTATGTTAATCTGCACAAAACAATCCAAATGCTTCAAACTCAAGAGTCAATGAAAAAAACTAAGAAACAAGAAGCAAAAACACCATACACCCCTCAAGAACAGCAAGAAAAATACCAAAAACAGTCCTATGCAGCACCATTTTTGGGGACCCATAAGCAATCATCACCGGAAACCGGCACCGATCGTCTGATGGATCTTCATCAGTCACCATAGCCAATCCAGAGAAATCACAGTCCCAACTGTTCTGATCATTCAACTGATAGTACATATTGAAAGCATAGGAAGCATTTCCTTTTGCACTAAGGTGATTACATGAGCCCATATCCCAATGCAGTGCAATCAGACATTGTACATGCATAATCAATGTTTCTTGGCAAATCTTGCAAGTCATCCACATGTGGGTTCAAAACACACCACCTTTTCATCATGTACTCCACCCCTGTAACCGCCGCGAGTCCCTTTTTTTTCTTGGGTACCAACCAGGTCCAATTCGTACTTGGGGTTCCCATCAAACTCGAAAAAATCTACCCCTTTAGATCCAACTAATTTAGATGATTTTTAAAAATTTTAAAAAATAACTATAATATATATAGTTTGCTTAAAAAAATTAGTCACTTTTTTCATATTTTTGTCAAATTTAGTCAAAATTTTGACTGAAATATAAAATAAAATAAATATATATATTTTTAAAAGGTAAAACTCAAGATTTTTTAAAAAAAAAAAAAATTAGAAAAATATTTTTTTTTAAAAAAAAATCAAACAAACAGAGACTATTATGAACTTCTATTGCACCATCAATAGTTTATGTACTAAATTTTATATCACTCAATTATTTATCAAATTACTCACCTCTCGTGTGGGATTATAAGTCTCACTTTGGTTTTTAATATAGTAGATCAAACACATATATGACTTACAATGTATCAATACACATCAGAAGTAGAATAAAAAAGTTTATTTGATAAATAAATTTTTAAAGTACAATTCAAAACTCAATTTTTTAAAAAATTTGGATCAAGAAATAAAAAAAAAAATTATTTGGTTAACAAATTTTTAAAATACAACTCAAAACTCAGTTTTGTCTCTCCTCTCTCCTTTTTTTCAAATCAAATTTTGAAATGAAAAATTCAAAAAAATTGTTTGGTTTACAATTTTTTTAAAATTATTTTTTTCTCTCATTTCTCCGCTCACATCCTACACATCAATCAATCAATTTCTCTCTCATATCTATCTATTCAACTACAAAAAAATTATAAATCATCTTAAAATTATTTTCAAAACTCATAATCAAACAAATTTTTAACAACTTATCTTTCAAAATACAACTCCAAACTCATTTCAAAAACTAAACCAAACAGAGCCATACTTTTTTGATATATTTTTTTTATTTTTTCAAAAATAAAAATAATTTAAATTAAAAAAATACCCATCCCTTTTCATTTTTGGCAAATGCTAAAGCCGTGTTCATAAAAATGAATCTGAAAACATTTTTGAACTGTTTGCTACACAAATTTAACCCATAAAGACTCAAAAGTGAATGCAAAGGCATAACCTTTTTGACTGCAAAACCAAAGACTCAAGAAACAGTAATCTAAAATTAATATTAAAAAAAAAAAAACTAATTTATAATACAATTTTCTTACTTTTTACCCTATGTTAATCTGCACAAAACAATCCAAATGCTTCAAACTCAAGAGTCAATGAAAAAAACTAAGAAACAAGAAGCAAAAACACCATACACCCCTCAAGAACAGCAAGAAAAATACCAAAAACAGTCCTATGCAGCACCATTGTTGGGGACCCATAAGCAATCATCACCGGAAACCGACACCGATCGTCTGATGGATCTTCATCAGTCACCATAGCCAATCCAGAGAAATCACAGTCCCAACTGTTCTGATCATTCAACTGATAGTACATATTGAAAGCATAGGAAGCATTTCCTTTTGCACTAAGGTGATTACATGAGGACCCATATCCCAATGCAGTGCAATCAGACATTGTACATGCATAATCAATGTTTCTTGGCAAATCTTGCAAGTCATCCACATGTGGGTTCAAAACACACCACCTTTTCATCATGTACTCCACCCCTGTAACCGCCGCGAGTCCCTTTTTTTCTTGGGTACCAACCAGGTCCAATTCGTACTTGGGGTTCCCATCAAACTCGAAAATCCCCCAATGCCTTTCGAAGCAACCTGGGGCAATGCTCTTGGCATCCTCATCGATTAGGCTAAAGAGGTAAGCCTCAATAACGCCTTTTCTAAGTGGGGTCCCATTCCCATTTAGGGCGTGTCGGACAAGACCTTGGTTGAATCTCTTGGCATTTTCCACGTTAGCATTTGTATCTCCATCGGTGGGCCACCCCACTTCCCCGACTAAAATCTTCAAGTCGGGGTATCCTGCCTTAGTTAAAGACCATACTAGAGTGTCGAAATTCGCATCAAACACATTGGTGTATTCATAATTGCCATCCCTAACAGTCTTATTATAAGTGTTGTTGGTATCGAAAAATGCATAGTCAAAGGGGAAATAAGCATTGCCGTAGAGGCTAAGGAAAGGGTATATATTGACAGTGAAAGGGGCATCATTGGAGCCGAGATATTGGATTACTTGTATGGTGATGTCCTTGACCTCGGGCCGGAAGTCACCGGCCGACGGGACGGGATTTGAGTCCGGCGAAAAGTAGACGTCGGCATTGAAGGGGACTGTGGCTTTGACTTGGGATCCGAGGCCGGCGTGGTTTAGGGCTTCTTGGATGTTCTTGAGGGCTGGTAATGTGAAGGGAAGGAAGGAGCCATTGTATGTTTTGAGAAAAGGTTCATTTCCTACTGCAACATACCTGCAAAAATGGATACTGTTAAGGTGATTTAAATCATATCATATTAATTATTTACATATATATATATATATATATTAAAAAATGTATGAATTACAAGAAGATAAACTTATTTGAAGTTGTGTTTTGAAAATACAATTTTTTTTTAAAAAAAGAGTTTGGATTTGAGAAATAAGTTCAAAATAACTTATGTTTGAGAAATAATTTTTGAAAAAAACTCTGGATTGATAAATGATTATGTTTATAACATGATCCAAACACTGGACAAAAAAAAGGAGGTAATATTCTTTGGACTTTGGTGATATGTTACTATTAACAAAGATCTGAGCTGCTATTTTAAGTATCTATAAAATGGACATTTAAGCCGAAGTAACACTCAACTAAAAATGGAAAATGATTTGCAGGAAATGACAAACCATTCAAAAGCAAATTGAGAAGGTAAACGAAAATATTTTGAGGTCCCAAACTAAGTGGGAAATTAGTATGAACAGCTTTAATTCAACAAATGTAAACCCCAATAATAATAATAATAATATTTGGATTAAAAAAAAAAAAAGAGTAAAAGAAAGAAGAAAAAAAGGAAGAAGATAATACCTTTTCAAGAAAGAATACTCCAACCAAAACCAATTTAAAGTCTCTTTAGTGTTGATAAAGCCATATATGTGTATATATATACATCTTCCGGACTTAAACGGTGCTTGTGATTTATGGATAATTGTAGGTATTTGGGCTTAAAGGACTTTGTCTTGGGAAGGTTCTCGTCATCAAGTACACATATACACACGTTATTAATTATACAATCGAAAGAGGATTGAAGAAACAGTGTGAAGAATTGAGTTTAAGAATCAAGAACAGAGATGGATTAGGGATAAAAAAAATAAACTGGTTTGACTCAACTTGATATTGACTCCACCACTGCAACTGTAACTAGTCACATAAACCTAAGCAAACTCAACCAAAAAGAAAATGATTTGCAGGAAGCAGAAAACTATTTAAAAGTAAAACAAAATATTTTAAGGTCCCAAACTAAACTAAGTGGGAAATTAGTCCAAAATAGCTTCAATTCAACAAATAAAAACCCAAAAAGAAAAAAAGAAAAAAAAAGGAAAAAAAAAAGTAGAAGGAAGAAGAAGACAAGACCATTGCATGAAAGAACCCCCAAATCCAAACCATTACATATAAAACCATTGTTTATATGTAAAGAAACAGATACATATATCAATTGGATTGAAGAAACAGTGTGAAGAATGGATTTTAAAAATCAAGAACAAAGATTAAATTGCATGTCAAAAAGAAAGAATAAGATGGGCATTGCATGAAAGAACCCCAAGTACCAATAAAGTTATATGTTTATAGAGATATATATGTGCATATTATATTTAGTGATGCGAGTCTCGTGCATTGGGATTGTCTTTAAATATATATATATATATCATTATACACTTGAAAGGGGATTGAAGAAATAGTATCAAGAATGGGATTCAAGAATTATCAAGAAACACAAATGAAGATTGTTTGGACTCAACTTGATGTTGACTCCACCATTGTAACTATATCTAGTGACATTGGCATCAACCCAAGAGGCAGCAAACTCAGGATCTTGGCTCATCTGCTCCAACATGAAATTGGGTATAGCCAGCATCACTTCAATCTCAGTCCCAATCAGAGCCTCCAAAATCTTCTCATCTGCCTCAAACAACTTCACTTTATCAAATCCATTCTCCTTCAGCATTTCCACCACTTTCTCTGGCGGCAACTGGTGTGTTGCCATGGTTCCCCAGTTCACTCCCACCCCACCATACCCAATTGGAACTAAGCTCAACAACACCAAAACCACCACCAAGAAATGATCATAATGAGGCTTTGGCTCTTCCATTTTGGTCAAATCTCTTTTATGTGTGTGTTTCTTTGATGGGTTGTCTTTGGATCTTTCTTGAATCAAGAGAAAGTGAAAGAAAGGAAAGGAAAGGAAAGGAAAAGAAAGGGGAATTTTCTTGGTGTTTGGAGTGGGATTTAAAGAGGTGAAGAAGAAGGAAAGCTTTTCTCTCTCTTTTTGCTCTCTCTCTGTGGAATTTTTAATGGGTTTATCTTTTAAGAAACTTCAAGGGTAAGGTGAAAATTTTGGTTGGAGGGTGGAGAGAGAAAAAGAGAGAGAAAAAGAATGGAAGATTCCTTTCTTAATGCAGTTAGTCAGTTATGTATGGTGCCAAAACACATGCAATTTTGTGCCCCAAAAAAAATTCTCAGTCAAGAGCTGTTAGTATTGAAGGTACATTCATCAAATGTTACCCACATTTTTTAGTCTGTTATAGTTAGAGAATAATAGAATAACTGTCCTTCATGTGTCCTTAATTACTTTTTCAGTATAAACAGGGAAAAGGATTATCCACACCTAAAATTTCAAACAAAAATATCCAATGTATTTTTAGGCATGTTAGGAATGCATTGAGTATAGAAGAATTGAAGTTATGGGCATGCAATGATATAATTTTGAGAATTGCAGGTGGATTTCTTTATTAGAGAATAGTGCATTGGATACAAGAATTTGAGATTAGGTGTATAGAATTTTGTGTAAGAATATTAGATGAATTTTAATGGAAATTGTTAACTACTTAACTCATTCAGAATGGTTGTACATCTCTTGTAAAGTGAGGTAGGTAAGGAATGCACAATCATGAAATGCATTGCTAATTAGTACCTAGAGCCATATGTTAGCGAGAGTCTAAAAAATATAAGCCTAAATCTTAACCTGTTTGGCTAAGTTTGCAAGTGTGTTGAATTGTTGGTCGGCCTGACCCTAGAGCTCGTTGGGCCAGGCTTGGGCCTAAAGTTTTGGCCCACAGGTCAACCCTGCCCATTAGAAAGAAGGTATGCTAGTTTAGTTTAAGGGTAGACTTGGACACCATTTTCCTAACCCGACACGATGTTGACATTAAGATCATATTTTTATTGGGAGGAGAGAAGTGAGTGATTGGGTTAGAACTCGAGAGCTATTAGAGTTTGTATTCACATTAAGGAATCAATTGGTAGGATAGGGGCGGAAGTGGGAGAGGGAGTGCAAAATGTACTTTGGTAATATCACTATCATAGTTACAATGATATCTCAATCTTGAAGTGCATTATTTGTTTTACTGTCTTCACTCACAAATAGGTACAAATAGAAATGGGACACAACTCCTAGTTCTTCTTTTCCAATTTTTTTAGTGACAAACACTATATGACACTAGTCCTGCCTAATTACCATGAAATAGAGTTAGGATTCAAATATTAAAATAAAAAATAAAAAATTAGTTGGGACTAGTTCAGTTGGTCAAAACTCCTATATTTTACTAAGAGTTCAAGCCTTCAAGTCTTGTTATAGGTAAGACCCCCTCCCTAGACTTGTCTCTCACATTGTCACTCTAGCCCAAGCTTGATTAATATACTTGAGAGGTTCCCCTTCTCAAAATCAATTTTTTAAATTTGGATGCTTTAATATAATATTAGAATTGGGTCTTAAGCCATCTATAGTTGGTCAAATCTCTGCTAGATGTCTAATCTCTCACCCTATGTCGCCTCCATATGCTATCTGCCCTGTATATGTGGGGAAGTATTAGACTTGTCTCATATCATCTTTCAATTTTGAGTTAGATATTTTAACACTACTTACAATTAAAAAATAAAACCTTGATCCCATTTGATTCATGACCACTAAATTTGTAGACTATTTTTTACAACCTTTTTTCAAAGTCCTGTCAACTGAATGATCTGATTCTTTTCTTTTCTTTTTTTATTTAAAAAAAAAAAAAAACCCTTTAAAGTGGCAATGACAACAGTGTGAACCTGTGGAAACTTAGGACAAAGAAAAGGGCTGGACTTTGTTTGGACCCCAAGAAAATTTGAGAGACTCTCATGACTTGGTTAGTTGGAGACTGACTTAAAACTTTAGAAAGAGGATTGAAGAGAATCCACTTAAAAATGACAACTTTCCACCCTACACATACGTGTTTCCTTCTCATGCATGCAATTCTCCTTCCTTTGTATATTATCTTTTCCCTTTCCTTTTTGTCAAAAGAAAAGTTCAACCTTTTCTCTCTCTTAGGGTTGCAAAAAAAACAGAAGGATAAGTCTAAAGGCTGTAATGCAATTCCAAATTAAGATATGCTGTCTTCACTAATGTTTATCTTTTGTTCTCATATTCTATTATTACCAAAAGTAAGCCATCACTTGATTTCTCTAATTTTGTTTATTTTGAACTTCGCTTTAATTTAATGTCATTCTTTTTAACTTTTGAATTCTGTTTGAATTTTGAATTTGTGGAGAAATAAAAAAAAAAAAGGAAAAAGTTAATGAAGAATAAACAATTTTTTTTTTTACCTTTTCAATCTCTTTTTATCTTTATATTTTCCTTCAAAAAAAAAAAAATTCACTTTTTGTAATTAAGTGAATGCTGTCCAACTCATTAATGGAGGTAAGAAAAACTACAATGTCATAATCATATGTTTCTTAATTGGGCTAATTTTAAGAGTTTAAATTAAGAAAATGATAGCTTAAATGAGAAAAACAAAGATGGATAGAAGCTAACAAGTGAAAATTTATTACCCACCCGAAAAAAGTACAAATTGATTGCATTGAAGATATGAGCAAAGTTCAAGGGTGGCTCCTTATTTCAATCTGTGTCAAGAAATCAAGGACCTCCTTTCACTGGATTGGCATTGTCATCTTCAACACATTGGGTGTTCAGCAAATGCCTGTGCGGATATTTTGGCCAAAGAAGCTAGAGTTCTTCTAACCTCTCGGCAAATCCTTTGACTACCTCCATCTTCTATTATTCCAATGTTTCTTTTTAATTTTCTTTGGGGCTTTGGTCCCCTTTGCAACCCAAAAAAAAAAAATTCAAGGGTCAAAGATCATTATTTCAAGTCTTCCTAGTGAATGAGTAACTTCCTTACTGAGTGATTTCCGAATTTGATGCTCACTGCTGCGCTGTGCAACTTCAACAAATACAAATATGTGAATAATATTGCTTAGCAAAAGTTGACCAAGGCTTGTTTAAATTACTGTGTTAAGATGAAGAGATGTGAAAGCATCTCATTTTACTCTAACCTCAGGTTAACCTAATGATTCATGAAAGTCAGATTACATCATCACCCTTTGGTTCCTTGATGTTGCATTTGACGAAGGGGATTTTTTTTTTTTTAGGAAATTCATTTAGGTTGTATTCAAATCATGAGTTTAGGTATGGATCTGGAAAGAGAGTGAAAATGTGAGTAAAATATGAATAAAATATAACTATATAATAATTACTTTCTTTTTTTTCCCCTTTTTTTGACCAAATTGGTTCCTAGATTTAAAAAATAAAAATCAAAAAAATCAAAAAACAGATTTTGAAAACAAAACCAAAGTGACCTACTTAGGTGCTGTTTGGTGTAGCTGTTAAAATAGATTATAGATTATAGCTTAACAGATTATAGATTATGACTTTAATCAGAAGCTGTTAATCTGTTTGGTATAGCTGTTGGGTTATAGATTTAAGTTGCTGAATAGTGTTTGTTAAATAAGCTGTGAAGTAACTTTTTTAATTAACTTTTATTTTTTATTATTCACTATTTGTCTACATTTCTCATAAAAAATAATAATAATATTTTATAGTCCAATTGTATCTTTTTCTATTTTAAAAAAATAAAAAATAAAAAAATCTAAGAGTATAACCGTGAATTAATATATCCACAGCAGAAGCTGATAATCAGAAGCAAAGGGTGAACAGCTTCTCAGAATCAGCTTTTTTCACTTAAAACAAGTTGATAGAATCAGAAGCTGTTTGAAATAAGTTTAACCAAACAGTCCAAAATAACTTTTTAAAAGCCAAAAGTCATAAATTGACTAAAAAAAGCCCTACCAAACGCCCCCTTAACATACTATTACTAGCCTTTTGTTCTGTGAATGCCCTAATGCAATTAAGCATGTACAAGAAAAGGCGTCACATTATTAATCACTTTATCTATTACATTTACTATGTATTTAGGCCAAGTTTGGCATGTCTTGAAAAAGATAAAAAGTTAAAAAGTCACTATCTTATTTAAGTTACATCATCTTATTTAAGTCACATCACCTCTCTAACACATCACTTCAAACCCAACCCAAACCCAACCCATATTTCATAAAAAGTCAAAAAGTACACTTATTTAGATCATCCCAAACAACCCCTTACTCTGAATACATAAAAGAAGCGGAAAAAAAATGATGAAATCTATCTGATGAAGTAGCCTAGACAACCTCATGACTGCATAACACATTTCTAACTACTACATTTCCCGGTGATCAGAGTTTGACAAGAAGATCACTGACAACTATTTCTCTCATTCCAACCTAAAACATCCAAAACAACATATGTTTTCACATTTAAGTCAAATGACATCATGTAACTCAAATACACTGAACTAAGCAACAGTTCTAACTTGAAGCACTACAACCGAGAACATTTGGAGGTAGATAGATTAACAACACTCCACATCTCAAGAGTGAATAAAACACATCCATTTAAATATTTGAAAAAAAATACTAAGATAAATACAATAGGACAGTATTTCTTTTCTAACCTAAGCTTGTCTATCTTTTCTGCTTACCTATGCTATGCTTGCTTTTGTGTCAGGTAGAAGGAATAAGGCCCTCTGCATTGATTCAACCATGACCCCCAAAGACTTGAATTCTTTAGTTCTTTTCATTCCCCACCAACAGAATGGACTGAGTTGGTGACTTCTTTATTGAAGCACACTTCCTCCGGCAACCTAAAGCTTAAACAATACATTGCCTGCATGATATAGCAAAGTTTGAAACCCAAAGAGAGAAGCATGTAAATGTGTGATTGCATATGTGTATGTGTAATTCAGAAAAAATAGTTATCAAGAAAAAAAAAGTAGTCATGATACTGGTTTGTACCTTGTTTGGAGCAACATCTCTAACCCTATGAAATTTTGGATCTCGTATACAGGCATTCAAGGCAGACTCTGCCTCCTGCAAAACAGTTCGAAAGGAGTTTCAGTTATTATGAGCAAGAAAAAAGTACGTAAAATGAATAAGTTGTACTTAAATAAGTTCTAGTTTGTAAGTCACATAGAGAAACCTATCAGCTCCACTAATATTCAACATATAAACCCCACAACAAAGTGTGACAAGCAACAAATATAGACAAAGAAGACAGATGTTATCTATACTATTATATAAGCATACAACTCACTTGACAACTAGATCACACATTCAGGTTTTTTTTTTTTCTTCCTTTTTTCCTACGTTTAGTTTTTCCCAGATGACAGTTACAATAGTCTTCCATTTCTACACATGCATCGTGTCTGTGTAGCCTTCAAGTATATTTATTATCTTCACAGTAATAAACCAAATAACATGCCTACGAATAATAGATCACAGGATAGAGGGGGGGAACATAGAAGGAGGGGGGGGGAACTAAATTTCTGCTGAAAGAAACTTACCGAAATTATCAATTCTTCGGTCTCATTTGCGCGCATGAAGCAATAGCAGTGAATCCAAGGTAGAGAACCTTTCCAGTATCTCCTTTGGATAAGGCCTCTAAATGCATCTGAAGAAGAAATTCTAACATTTCATACCCTTTACATATCTTTCTTAAAAAGGAAGGAAAAAAAGAAAGAAGCAAACCTCTGGACATGATAAATATACGAGGAATTATCTATTTATAAAGAGCAAAAATAAATGTTTAAGCTTTCACAAGATACTCCACCCGAACATTCAACTTCCATTGCGCATTCAAGCGCACCCTTCTGAGTCACCAAGATGACAAACTAAAAGTCTAGGAATTCGGTTCATAAGGCATCCAAATGACACTGCAAAAACTAGTCTTAATGATACATAAAAGCCTGCCTAAAAGCCTTACAATTGATTTTCCCTTGACATTAGAACTGAATTTGAGGTTATTTATGTCATTTTAAATCAGGGTCATTGTGGCATCGGCTAAATATTCACAAAACTATGACTCAACAACGGGTTACTTGAAATACTAAAGTTGATACTGAGAGCTTAGGAAACCAGATTTCAGAAAATGTTTGGATTTGATTCTCCAAGTTGACTTAGATATGTTCTCGGCAAGACTTGTTGCATGATCAGAGCAAATTAGTAGAACATAGAATGCACATATACAGGAAGTAATAATGGAAAATTGTATTTATCCCAATCAAAAGAAAGGAAGCCGAGATTTATTTCAAATTAGTTGAGAACAGAAGAAATTAAGTCTTTGGTCCTCTAGGAATAATTTCAAACTAATAGGTCAACAAAATGTCTCATCAAACTTAAAAGGATTATTAAACAGGAATGATTAATCAGAGAGAGAGAGAGAGAGATGCAAAAACATTTACCAAGAAATTGTAGGGCAGAAGCAGGTAAATTCATTATTATGTGGTTCAGATGCTCGCAGGGCTTAGCATTGAATGAATCAGAGCCTCTCATTCGCTTATTTGTGCCTCGTCTTAACCTATCAGCTACAAAAACACCAGCACAGTTAGCACTTCAAATTATGCAACAGAAACTACTAAGGCAAAGAAAATAGCTAACCAAACCAAGAGATACAGTAATTAGAGACTTCTTGGATATCAATTCAACACCAAATTATGATAAACATCAAATATATGACACAAGAGAATGGAATGCTTCATCTATGCACAAAGGAAACTAGTGTTCTCATGATGCCTTGCGTGTCCACTGTACCTTCCCGACGACTTTCAGAATGCCGTTTACCTGCAGCTACACCTGCATCTGGATTCATACATGAGCGTTCAACACCCTCCACGTTGGTCGACTTGTTACCTTGTACTTCTTCGATCTCAACTGCAAGGATATCAAGATTTGGGCGGGTATGTTTAAGATATGCTAGATTCCACCAAGTAACAAATGAACCTAATTATACATGTCCTCTGATTATATCTTCCAAATGGTTTACACTAACAATCCATCCTTCCCATACAAAGGGTGATTTTAATAAATAACCAAATATATGACTTGGGCTAAGGGTCAAGTTGGGAATTTTTATTACAATTACTTGAAATGAGTTTGGATAACATCTTTTTTGATTGGGTATGGCTTTGACTATTCATTGACCTCGCTAATTAGTTAAACTGAATGGTTATGGTTTACAGGAATGGTATTGTTGTCAAATCGCGAATTGAATTGTGAATCTTTTTGATAAAATAGTGAATCAGGAATCGTATTGAATCATGAATTGTAAAATTCACTTGTTTAACATAATATATAATTTCATATATGTGATACATATAAAAATGCAGACATAGCATTTAAAATGAAATAAATATTAGTATAACTAAATATATACATATAAAACCACATATATCAATATAATTAACTGATCTCCTTTTTAATTTTGCAAAAATAACGTTTCATGCATTATGCACACAAAACTGAATAGCACTAAATCGTAGAGAATCATACTGAATTGCAATTGAATCGTAAGATTCACTCAATTTAAGATTCAACAGTACGAATCAAATCATTTTGGTTAAAACTCATATCGAATCGTCAATTGAAAGATTCTAACAACCACCTCAAACATCGTACCTGCCAGCTTTATGTCCTGAGATTCCTTTTCCCCATTTGCCTGTACGCAGCATTTCTCCGGAGCTTCAAGAAAGGGAACATCAGATTTTTTATCAACCTCAGAAGCAGGTACCGCCATCAATTGACGTATGAATTTCCTTGCATCCATATTGTATGCACAGACTAGATCATTGACCTTGTTAATCTCTGCATTAATCTCCAAATAATGAACGCTATCTGGATTTAAATCATTTGCATACACCAGGCATCCTTTCTGTGCAGCTGGAATAGCAAACGGACCAATACCAGCAAACATGTCACAAATGGTCTCCCCTGCTTGGAACTGAGAAACCAGCCTTATATGTTCATGTTCCAATCTTGAATTCCAATAGACCAAGCTGTAATCAAGCTTAAATGTTGCACCATATTGCTTCACTTCAGTAACCATGTCATCTATTCCTGTCAGTACCTCAAACTTTGGCACACGGAACTCATTGGTAATAGATCCAACTTTATTAACAACTGTTTTGATCCTGGGATGATTTTTCTGGACAAAAAAAAAAAGAGAAAAGTATATATAAAATAATGAAGACCAAATTGGCGAAGATGGATATTTCGAAACAAAATGTGGGAATCATTTTTCAACACTCAAAGGCCTTGTTTGGTTTGTTTTTCAGAAAAGTTTTTGGGAAAAATTCTCTACAAACAAATTTTCAAGAGTAGTCAAACCAAATAAATTTTTCCAAAAAAAATCTCAAAATTTTGTTTGGTTACCTACTTTCCAAAATCACTCTCTCTCATACACATCAAATCAATTACTTTTTTTAAAACTCTCTCCCCAAAACAATTTTCCAAAATCATTTCTAAAAAAAGGTAAACCAAACAAGTTTTCGTACATTTTATCTCAAAAACTACTCCACAAACATATACCAAACACACCCAAAATATTGCAAATATATATATAGATTGCAATCAACACTGTTCTTGAACTGTTACCACCCCCAACCAACACTTTGATCACCCCAACACTCTTGTTTTCTTTATTTGCATCATAAAGACTTCTTGAATTTTAATGTCCCTCACATCCCTGAACTAGGACCAAGCAATATGAACAGAAAAACAAGGTCAAAGACAAAAAAAGATGAAGCAAAAAGGCGATGCATAAATCTCTCTCCAAGGAAAATAGAGTATTTAAGTCATGCAAGCACCAGTAGTATTCAAATGTGGGAACAGCATGAAAGACCCAAACGAACAAGAAAAGAATCAGTTGAAATGATCGAGACTCATGGTTGAACAAGAATTTAATCTTTTGAAGGACTGGCAACTCAAAGCAAGAACTGCTTTGCCAACATTCATTTGAAATAAGGACAAGTGAATATCTATCTCACCATAATTTTTTTAGATTAGATGCAATTAGAAATAAACAACTTTAACAGGGGAAATCCAACTTTAAATTATTTGAAGAAAAATCTTCTTAAACTATAAATAACAAAATATGAACTTCAGAAGCTAATGAAAGGAACACCATTACTTTGGCACAAACAACTGCATAGTCCCAAATTTCAAATATGCCAGCGATTGAGGGCGAATTGTACAACATTGAGGCTGATAATTAGGATCTCTTAACCCTACTTGCCTGTCAAATTATATATTTTATGCCTATTTAATGTCAATCAGGTTGGATACAATGGGAGCATAAGATGAGCAAAAATGTAGAAATTGTAGATAAAAATGCTTCCCGCATGTGCTAAGGACTATTCCCGTACGTGCGGCCCATCCATCGCAGCCAAACAAAGCCTAAGGAAATTGCACGTGCGGAGGCCCATTCCCACACGTGCGGTGGAATTTCCTGCACGTGCGGCCGTACCTCGGGAAGCGTGCCTGATGTTCTGAATGTGGGGAAAAGCTGGAGATATAAAAGGCAGAAGGAAAGATTGGATTAGGGTTCTGATTAATTTTCAAAGAGAGGCTAGGGTTTGGAAAAAAAAAAAAAAGAACTTGAAGTTTTCTAGGGTTTTGATGAAACCCTAGCCAAGCAAATAGGTTTTCTTTTTGGTTTTCTTTTATGCAATAGTTTGAACAATTGTATGGTTCTCAAGAAGTTTTCAAATACAATTTTTCATTATTTCTTCAAGTATTCTTTTTTTTGTGATTGTTGAATGCTTTCTATACAATAGTTTTCTATTCTTTCATGTTTAAGGTATAAGACGAGCCATACTACGAGGGACGAGTCGTGTTGCTACTCTAGTTTAGAGTGAACGACTCGTACTACTTGAGATGGTTCGTGTCTATACATTGAACGTGTTAATTTTCTTCATAAATGCTTTGAGTTTGTAGTTGCGAAGTATTATTTAGTTCGAACCATAACATAACTGAGTCTCAAATTGAAGTCTTATTTATGTAACTAGTGGTGAATTCATTACCCTAGGTTTTTTTCAAAAATCAATAAATTCTAATTTTATTTATAATTGCTTAGTTTAATATTTTAGTTTATTTTAGTTATTACTAGTTTATGAATCATCATCTTTTTAATCAAAATTGAATTAGGAATTTAACAATTAAATTAGTTTAATTTATCGTTTGTCCTAGTGAATCGATACCTGAACTTACCACTATTCTAAGGAATTTGTTATAGTTTAGTGTTTATATTTGGTGTGTGAAACGACCTATCAAAGTTTGGCGCCGTTGCCAGGGACTTCTGCCGAAACTAATTAATTTAAAGTTACATTATTATTTTAATTTTTAATTTAGGATTTTATGCTTTCGTGTTGCTAAGTGTGCAGAGTTTTTGCAAGTGGAGCTATCATTGAAGTGCAAGCGGAGCGCAACCGAGCTTTAAAAACAAATCACAGCACTAAAGTGTTAAAAAAGAAGAAGCAAATACTCGCAAACAAAGCATCAAAGTGCTAAACATAGAAAGCTCAAGTGGAGATTGGAGATTGGAGACAACAGTCTACACATCAAGCACCCGCAAGATAAGTAAAGCGTTTTCGTTAAATCGTTGTGAGTATTTTTCTCCTTTCGTATTTTGCTTTCATAACTTAGTGCACAAGAGTAGGAACCTAGTGTGTGTGTGTGTGTGTGTGTGTGTGTGTGAGAGTGGTGTATGCACGGGCACCATTCTTGCAGCCCTGAATTGGGTAAATATGTTGGCTTATTTTAAATGAAAAAAATCACAACCTTCATCTGATCTCACTCTTCTCAAAAGAAAAATATTAAATTTTACTCAGGAAGTGGATGAGCTATTTTGCCATTGTTGAGAACAATACAAGAGCTATGTAGATGCTTGTCCACAACATGCCTAAAAAATGACTCAACTCATTGCTTTCTTTTACAATGGGTTAAACTATCAAACAAATCAATTTGTAGACACAATGTGGTCAACTGAAAATTTTGAGATGCTCCCCGTTGAGGTGTGGATTTCTTTTAACCAACTCGTTCAAAACTTTCATAAGAGTGCATGTTGTGAGATTTTTGAAAAAGAGTTGCAAATTGAACCTAGTGAAGCCACAACACATCTCTCCAGTGATCTAACAACTGACATGGAGTTAGTATTTTTGTCACTTGAACCTACTGTTGCACCCAAAGATATGACAAAAACTCTCCTCATAGTTTTGGCCTCTCATGAGGACAAAATTAATAGGGATTTAATTGTAGAAAATTATAGTGATTAAGTAAATCAGCATGGGTGGGATTTTATCTTTGGTTTTGATCTTATTGTTTCCATCCATCAGATTTCTTTACACACTCTACTTTCCACAAACATATTTCTCCACTCAGTTAATCATCCTCCCACAAGTCATTTACAACCTAGTCCCGCATTATTGGAGGGGTTGATTTATTTTCATTACAGGGATCCATATCTCATAAATTGGAAGAAAAGGCAAAAATAAGTTTGTGTTGATATTTGGTTGAACACAATATATTTAGCTCTTCTCGGGAGGAAACCTGAGCATTTTAGTTTTAGTTCTTTATTTATTTTTTGTATGTTTTCAGTGTGGTGTGTCAGCGCCAAATAGATGAGTACACCTTTAAATGGAACTGCTGAGTACGACCTAACAAGTTTGGTTTGAGGTAGATTACTTAAAGGAAGATCAACATGAAGCCTTGGATTCCAACCCAAAAAAAAAAATATAATATTTGTTGTGTTTATTTTCTAACCCTTTTACAGGTATAGTTCCTTCCAGTTGGGGAGCATCTTTTTCTGCATTTCAGGGATGTATTATTTATTGTGTTTTAATTCCCTTTCCTTTTACTGTTTTTGTCAATCCTATTTGGTATATGCCATTGAGGCCATTGTCATTTAAGTTAGGGGGAAAGACTTTTGTTTTTGGTTTAACAAATATTTAGATATATTGCATGCTATTGTTTTTGTCTTAAAAACAAATAAAAAACAAAAAAATACAAAAAACAAAAGACAAAAATAGTGTTTTGTGTAGTGTGCGTGATTGCGTTTCGTGTCTAGGAGACTTTAAATCCTTTAAAGGTGTAATTCCTTTTGTGTTAGCTGTGCCCGAACGACATCTGACGGTCTGGTATAGCCACCTAACTGTGATTGTAGTGAGTTCCTAGGAGACCAACTGAGATGGTGGAAACTAGACTTGTATGAAAAGGGTTTATTGGGTAAAGACTCGCATGTGATGTTTGCACTAGGATAGTTGCTTGTGGTTGTGGTATTAGTACACTCATCATGCATATGCCTTGATTCATATGAACACATTATCATAGCGGTGACCTCTTTATTATAATCCCTGGTGTACATCATTGATAATTGCTAGGGTTGCAGAAAAGAATAAATCCTTGATTCTCGAAAAAAAAAAAACACTTGACTTGTTTGGGTTCATAACCTCTTTAACTCGAGTTATTAAGCCTATAGGGGTGTCTCTACACCTAGTGCCTCAAAACCGTCTAGTTTGGAAGTCATTGACCCAATACTTTACATGGGTTAATTAGAGAGCTTACGGGACCTAAACATTGCACAATTAAGGAAAAATAAAGAAAATGACTTATTCGGGTTTGTAGCCTTTTCAGCTCGAGTTATTAAGCCCGTATGGGTGTCTTCACACCTAGTGCCCTAAAACCGTTTGGTTTGGGAGTCATTGGCCCAATGCTTGTTACATGGGTTGATTAGAAAACTTAATGGATTAGGACATTGCAAATTCTTTAAAAAAAAAAAAAAGTTTGAGAATTTTGGTTGCAAGTTTAGTTTTTCTATATATGTTGGGTGTTATTGTGAATTACACTATTATAGTGGACAGTTAACTAGTTATATGGATTGCACTTTACACTGAGGGTACTAATGATGTGTCTACTAGCATTTACAAATACATGAAACTTAATTTTTGTAATACTGAATTGCGATATTTGCTCAATAGATTCCTTTATGCTTGTCTACTGTGCCTTCAATGACTCATCATGTCTTAATTGTGCATTGTAGTAGCAAATAAATTAATTCTTGAGTTGTGTAGTGTGATTAATTGTTGTTGGGCAGATGCGAATATGTTAATGTTTGTGGGTATCATTTATGGAAACCCTCACGAGACTATACTCGTCCACTTGGGGTAATTTTGTGGTTTAAAAGCTTGTTACATATGCTAAATGCAATCGTTTTTCCCACGAAAGAGGAGGTAGCTAAATTTTGTTTATCTTTCTTTATTCCTTACTTGAGGACTACCAAGTTGTAAGTTGGGGGATGTAATTAAGGCCGAATTGTACAACAATGGAGCCGATACTTAGGATCTCTTAACCCTACTTGCCTATCAAATTATACATTTTATGCATGTTTAATGTCAATCAGGTTGGACACAGTGGGAGCATAAAATGAGCAAAAATGCAGAAATTGTAGAGAAAAATGCTTCCCGCACGTGCAGCCCATCCATCGCAGCCAAACAGAGCCTAAGGAAATTGCATGTGCGAAGGCCCATTCCCACATGTGCGGAACCTCGCCGCATGTGTGGTGGAATTTCCCGCACGCGCAGCTGTACCTCAAGGAGCGCGCCTGATGTTTTGAATGTGGGGAAAAGCTGGAGATATAAAAGGCAGAAGGAAAGACTGGATTAGGGTTCTGATTAATTTTCAAAGAGACAGAGGCTAGGGTTTGGAAAAAAAAAAAGAACTTGAAGTTTGAATGTCTCCCATGGGGGCTTCTTCTCCCTCCACCTCTTCCCACACCTCCATGAGTAGTTAGGCTCCCCTTTCCAGGGTTTTGATGAAACCCTAGCCAAGTAAATAGATTTTCTTTCTAGTTTTCTTTTATGTAATGGTTTGAACAATTGTATGGTTCTCAAGAAATTTTTAAATACAATTTTCCATTATTTCTTCAAGTATTCTTCTTTCTGTTGAATGCTTTCCATACAATAATTTTCTATTTTTTCATATTTAAGGTATAAGACGAGCCATACTACGAGGGACAAGTCGTGTTGCTATCTTAATTTAGAGTGAACGACCCGTACTACTTGAGATGATTCGTGCCTATACATTAAACGTGTTAATTTTCTTGATAAATGCTTTGAGCTTGTAGTTGCAAAGTATTATTCAGTTCGAACCGTAGCATAATTGAGTCTCAAATTGAAGCCTTATTTATGTAACTAGTGGTGAATTCATTATCCTAGGTTTTTATCAAAAATCAGTAAATTCCAATTTTACTTATAATTGCTTAGTTTAATCTTTTAGTTATTCCTAGTTTATGAATCATCATCTTTGTAATCAAAATTGAATTAAGAATTTAACAATTAAATTAATTTAATTTACCGTTTGTCTCTGTGGATCAATACCTGGACTTACCACTATTCTAAGGAATTTGGTCTACTTTAATTTTATTTTAAGTTTCATTTATTACAAAAAAAAAAAAAAAATGATGAGAATTGCATGTGGTGCATCAGTGGGAAGACTTGTGCTTTAATATCTTACTTTATTCTCATGCTGGTTTCACGGGCATATGTGTATGTTTTTGGTGTGTGAAGGACATTAGTCGGAGGATATCCACCTGGGCCTCCAAAATGGCTAGAGATTCGTCCTCCTTGGCTCCACCGCTGTCACCACCACCGGTTGAGTTGCCACGACCGGATTGGGCTTCACGCCCGCTTCACAAGCTCACACAATTCAACTATTTTCAGAATGACCCAGTCATCTCCTAGGCTATTGAGCAACTCCACCTCCGGCAAGAGTTGGGCCTTTGTACTATTACGACGCCCACTTATCCTCGTTTAGTACAGCTCTTCTACCAGAACATGTATGAGTTGCTCACTAGTGCAGGACTTCTGTCCATTATTGATGGCCACATCGTCAGCATCACAAAATCCATGATTGCTAAGTGTTAGGTTTCTTTGCCAAGTCGGACGACCAGCCCTTCTCGGAAGTTGAGGGTCGACAACCCATATACAGCCTCATCCAAAGTACTTCCCGAGGGCCTACTGTGTCGCTTACACGTGTTTGTGCCGGAGCAAGTTGGCTGGCGTATTATTCATTGACTCAGTGACACATAAGAATGCCCTTCCACTTGGGCATAAAGCTGAGCGCCGAATGGAGTTTGTCCGGATCCTACATGGTTATCAAGTGCCGCTTGAGCACGTAATCTGGATACATATGCACAAATTTCTGCAGGAGACCGTTCAGCCTCAACCTATGCAAAACCCGACTTGGCGCTTGCCATTTGCCAGCTTGCTCACACTTCTCTTCGAGCTGAACAACCTCCCAATTGGTCCGACTGAGAAGATCGACACTGCTTATCCGACTTTCGGGCAGCGGGAATGGCAGCATAGATTATCCCGCAACAAGTTGGTGCCCCGATTGATGAGTCCCATGACTGACCGACCACCTCTTGCCTCCCCAAGCGGATCTACTATACATGACTCGCGAGGAGTACTTACAGTTGTAGCACTTTGTGGATCAGGTTCACAGTACTCTTCACGATCACCACCAGATCCTCATAGGGTTGTGCACGGATTTTCAGGTGCATCAAGACTATGCTCAAGTGACTTTCGACCAGCTCAGCGCCCGCTAGCTCGACATTCAGCAATTAGTTGCCTCACTGCACACTGACTTTTATACATATCGAGAGTCGAGCCAACAGTGTTTGACCAACTGGCGCCTGGGTTCAGAACGAAGCGTTCGAGACGCGGTCATTAATGAATGCCTTGTTTGCCTATCATTTCCCCCTACTGCCACCACCGGATTCTCAATAGTACCAGACTATCTTTTTCTTTCTCTTTTATTTGTTTCGTTTTTAAAAAAAAAAAAAAAAAAGTGTGTGCGTGTGATGCTATTTGCCAACCTGGATGTGCCCTTACAATATCTGGTAATATTCTGTTTTTCCTATTTACTTCGCATCTGTTTCCATTGAGGACAATGTTATATTCAAGTTGGGGGATGAGGGTATTTTCTTTTGTGTATTCTTGTTTGGCTCATAATTCATGCTTATACCTACTTCACTTGATTGCATTACTTCAGTTGATGTTGACTTGTTGCTAGTAAGGTGATGATATTTGCATATGTTAATTGGGGAACATAGTAGACTTATATGAAAAGGGTTTATTGGGTAAACACTCGCATGTGATGTTTGCACTAGGATAGTTGTTTGTAGTTGTGGTATTAGTACACTTATCATGAGTATGCCTTGATTCATATGAACACACTATCATAGTGGTGACCTCTCTATTATAATCCCTAGTGTACATCATTGATAATTGCTAGTGTTGCAGGAAAGAATAAATGACTAGCCTTGATTCTCAAAATAAATCAATTAAAAAAAAAAAAAATACACTTGGGATTCGTTTGGATTCGTAGCCTCTTTAAATCTTGTCTGTATTTGTTAGGAGTTATTATGAGTTACATTGGGCTATTATAATGGTGAGTTAACTAGTTATGGAGATTGTATGTTACATCGAGATTACTGATAATGTGTTCTACTAGCATTCACAAATATATAGAACTTGATTTGTGTAATACTGAATTGTGGTCTCTACTCAATAGATTCCTTCATGCTTGATTACTATGCTTTCAATGACTCATCATGCTTGAATATTGCACTGTAGTGGCACAATAGTTAATTCTTGAGTGGTATGGTGTGATTGATTGTTGTTGGATAGATGTGAACATGTTCATATTTGTGGGTATCATTTTTGGAAACCCTCACGAGACTTTACTCGTCCATTTGGGTAACTTTGTGGTTTAAAGACTTGTTGCATACACTAAATGCAACTATTCTTCCTACGAAAGAGGAGATAGTTAGATTTTGTTTAAGTTTATTTTTCTTTCTTCATTCCTTACTTGAGGACTAGCAAGTTGTAAGTTGGGGTATGTAATTAAAGCCAAATTATGCAACACTAAGGCCGTTAATTAAGATCTCTTAATTTTACTTGCTTGTTATACATTTTATGCCTGTTTAATATCAATCAGGTTTGTACACAGTGGGAGCATAAAATGAGCAAAAATGCAGAGAAAATTGCTTCCTGCACGTGCAGAGGCCCATTCCCACCACAAGAAGAATCTACCATTTGGCAGTGAGGCTCAGTTAAGCCATAGTAAAATGTCTGAAAAAGTTGCCAATCAGGCACTTGGTGGTGGGAACACTGTTGGAGAAGGTCACAAAGTCTCTCCCATGTCTCATGAAATTGCTCGCCATCAATTTGAGCAAAATTGGTGATGGTTCGCCTGATAGAATTTCACCAATGAGGCCCTAATGTTGCGACTGTTCCCATTTTCACTGAAGGACAAAGCCAAACATTGGCTGAACTCCTCACCTGCTAATTATGTCACCACATGGGACCAATCACAGCAGAAGTTCTTGGAGAAGTACTTTCCCATTGGTAAGACAAACCAACTCAGGCGAGCCATCACCAATTTTTCTCAAATTGATGGCGAGCAATTTCATGAGACATGGGAGAGACTTCGTGACCTTCTCCAACAATGTCCCCACCACCAAATGCTTGGTTGGCAACATGTTCAGACCTTTTATTATGGCTTAACTGAGCCTCACCGCCAAATGGTGGATTCTTCATGTGGTGGGAATGGGCCTCCGCACGTGCGAGAAGCAATTTTCTCTACATTTTTGCTCATTTTAAGCTTCTACTATGCACAAACTTAATTGACATTAAACAGGCATAAAATGCATAGTTTGACAAGCAAGTAAAGTTAAGAGATCCTAATTAACGGTCTCAATGTTGCACAAATCGGCCTTAATCACATCCCCCAACTTATAAATTGCTAGTCCTCAAACAAAGAATAAAGAAAGAAAAATAAACTTAAACAAAATCTAACTATCTTCTCTTTCGTGGAAAGAACGGTTACATTTACCGTATGCAACAAGCTTTTAAACCACAAAGTTATCTCAAGTGGACGAGTAAAGTCTCGTGAGGGTTTCCAAAAATGATACTCCCAACTCGAGTTGAAAAGGCTACGGATCTGAACAAGTCATTTTCATTATTTTTCCTTAACTGTGCAATGTCTAAGTCCCTTAAGCTTTCTAATTAACCCATGCAACAAGTATTGGGCCAATGACTCTCAAACCAGACGGTTTTAAGGCACTAAGTATAGAGACACCCTACAGGCTTAATAACTCGAGTTAAAGAGGCTACGAACCCAAGCGAGTCCACTGTTTGTTTGTTTTTTTTTTCCCTCTGTTTTTTTTTTTTTTTTGATTTATTTTGAGAATCAAGGCTAGTCATTTATTCTTTCCTGTAACAATAGTAATTATCAATGACGTACACCAGGGATTATAATAGAGAGGTCACCACTATGATAGTGTGTTCATATGAATCAAGGCATACTCGTAATAAGTGTACTAATACCACAACCACAAACAACTATCCTAGTGCAAACATCACATGCGGGTGTTTACCCTATAAACCCTTTTCATATAAGTCTACTATGCTCCCCAATTAACATATGCAAATTTCATCACCCTACTAGCAACAAGTCAACATTAACTGAAGTAATGCAATCAAGTGAAGTAGGTATAAGCATGAATTATGAGCCAAATAGAAATGCACAAAAAAAAAATACCCTCATCTCCCAACTTGAATAT